TGACTTTTCTATTTATTTATTTCCGGTTGAAAAATATGAAAACTTTAAAGGGTCGTATATTGTGACCTTGACCTTTGGTGATCATGTGACCCTAACAATTTTTATAAGACAAGATCTATCCAATAGTATATTAACGTTTATTGTACGGTGTTTACCTCCGATTTTATCGCCATTTGAAATTGATGAATTTTATCTTGAAAAGAGTCCCTTTTGTAAGTCTTTTGTGGTCTAAAGGATAAAGGTTATTTGTCGGAGTTTGCTCCCTTCAACTGTTGTTGAAAACAGTAGGTTAAGGAGTATTTATATATGACGTCATATTGAGCACATGTTTTTAAAATTATTCAACTTGAAATGTTCCGTAGAGTAATACACAAGTCTAGTGACAAAATGGACCTCGTAAGGAATGTAATGTGAGTTGAATATGCTTTGAGTTTGGGCGATCTAGAGAACAAGACATGAGTTTCGGCGATCTGTTGAATATGTATCCAGTTTATTATGATTTATTATGGAAATAATGATACTTTGCGGCACAGTTTTAATCGTAAAATCAAAACTGTAACGCACTGCTTCAGAATCATGCAAAGCCTGTGGATCTAGTTCTTGTAATTTGTTTGAAAGTCAGGATAATAAAAGCATAAACTTTACGAAAACTCACGCCAAGTTTCGTCAAAATCATTCAAGAATTGTGCCTTCTAGAGTGTTTACGAGCTAAAAATTGAACACGCTTTCCAGAACAAGGGCAATATCTTTTACTAAATATTTTTCGATTTTTCTGATTTTCAATAGTGTTCATCTTTGGGTAATTACCAACACTCACACTAAGTTTTGTCAAAATCCTTCGGAGCAATTGTGAATGGACCGACGGACGGACATGGGTGACGGCAATATACGCCCCCATTTCATGTGGCCGTATATAAAGAAGGCAGCAATAAGCAATCACAGAAGGATATTTGATGGGATCACCAATACCACAAGTAGTACAGCGATTCATTTGATGTATACTAAACTTGGAGTAATAAATTATAAATCTTGAATCAAAACCATCCTTTAATACCCAGCATTTCGTCAAAAAAGTTTTGACTTCATCAGGGGAAGAAACAAACTACAAATGGTGGAAGGCAGTTAAGATTAAAATTACAATATGACCTCTTAAGATTTATGACGTCACAATCTTGAAAACCACATACCAAGAGAAGAGTCAAATCACAAAATGGTGGGAGGCAATTTGATTCTTGATAATATGACCTCAAAAGATTTGACATCAAAATCCTAGATACAACATAATAAGTGTGTATGATGACTTTAGGATTTGCCAAAGAATCTAAACAGGAAGGGAAAAAGGGGGGGGGGGGGAATACACTAATATTTAGGAATTTTGAAATCTCCTGTGTTGAGTTCATTCAATCCATACGGCCATACAAGTTAAGTCTATGAATCCACAGAGTTTCTGCACTGTGTAATTTGCTTTTGCTTCCCTTTGATAGCTGACCCTAATTGTAAAACTGGTGCACACATGTGCTTTAGTCAGCCATTGAGGTGAAAGGCCCTGCTACCAGAGGTTCCGACAATGGTACCTGAGGAGTGGGAGCTGTCGTTAACAAACCTCTCTTGATCAGTTTATTCAATAAAATGTCCGTCAAGCTATCTTCTGCTGTAGTGGGAAACAAACCTCTATCTGCATCAGTATCAGGAGACAATGGTAATGGTCTCTTCCATGAGTTATTCTTGGACATCCTGAAAAGAAGGGGGGGTTAATGAAAGGGCAGCAGACAAAGACAACATACAAGGTTGGTAATAAGATTAAGACGATGCCAAAGGCACACACCCTAAAACAATTCTTCCAACCCACAGGAATCAAAAGAGGTCTGTAACCAACAACCCTGAGTAAACAGCCACACTGTCAAAAGACTACTAATAATAATTCATAATGTTAACCTACCCTCTGGAGTACACAAAACCATCTATTGCGCAGAAGTACTGCATCAAGTACACTACGAACATAAAGGGGATAGCTCACCTCCACTGACAGATGGATTCCATCTGGAGCACAAATATCCTGAACAGGCTTAACTAACCCAGCATGATGTTTCCACACACTCAAATAATCAACATGTTTGCAAAGCTGAGCGAGAAAGCGAGAGTAAAAAAGGACAATTTTTCTCACTTTCTTACCTTTTTCCTCGCCTTTTTTATACCCTCGCATTCTCGCCTTTTTCCTCGCTTTGTGGTCTCGACTTCTCATGGGCGAGAAGTCAAGGGTAATATGGTTGCAGCCGGCTTCCATACAAGGAACCTTTCTTCTCTGTAAGATTTGAGACACAATAACACACTTAAACTGCAAATTCCTATACACATGTTGTGCAAAAGACACAATGTCAAAAGCCAGTTGACTAGGATCTGCAGATTCCACACACAAGTCATTTGTACCAATCTGTAAGAATACTAAATACTTAGGATCACAGATTATAATCGAATCGTTGCGCACCTTCAGCCCACCATACTCAATGTAGGTCACACAGCAAGAGCTTAAACAGAAATCCTGGTCTAAATCCTCTGAAGCCCTAAAAGATGGCAGCCCATGTACATGAGAGCTGCCAAAACACAAACTTTCACTGCATGATTCACTGGCACTGAAATACTTCCATTCGTAACAGAGAACATCGGGGGAAGATCAACCTTCCCCATCTTGACTGGCAGTAGTGTCAACAAAACGTACAAAATAGAATCAAATGCTGAACACAAACAGCTGATTTTGAAAATAAAATCTTGAACAAATCCGACAAACCTTAATTAATGAAGAAAAGCATAATAAAACATGTGTTCAACTCAATCTGTGAACCGGAAAGACCAAAATGGCTACACACAAATTTCAACTCACATTCGACTACACACATAACTGATTATCTTCAATAATTTTATTTTTCAATCTTTCTGATTTTAAATGGGGTTCATCCAGTATGAAATATTCAACCTTCAGACATACACTTCTTTTAAACTTTTTAAGGCGATACTGAATAATATCACCAAGTTTCATCAAAATCTTGCAAGAATTGGGCCTTCTAGAGTGTTTACAGGCTAATACATGAAATGGGGGCGTATATTGGCGTCACCCATGTCCGTCCGTCCTCAATTGCTCGTAAACACTTTACAAGACACAATTCTTGACGGATTTTGACGAGACTTGGTGTGGGTGTTTGTAATTACCTAAGGATGAACCCTATTGAAAATCAGAAAAATCGAAAAATATTTAGTATGAGTTATTGCCCTTGTTTTTGATAACGCATTAAATTTTTAGCTCGAAATCATTCTAGAAGGCACAATTCTTGAGGGATTTTGTTGAAACTTGGTGTGAATGTTTGTACTCACCCAAAGATGATCTGAATTGAAAAATATTTTGTATGAGTTATTGTTCTTGTTCTTGCTGGATTTTGACAAAACTTGGTTTTATTGTTCAGTCCCGCGCTGAAGATTGAATATTTACCTTCTAGAGTATGACTGAAGGTTGAATATTTCATACTGGTGATAGTTACTGTACTGCTAAATATTTTTATTCAAAATCAAAGCTGTTAGTGGGCGTATATTACCTTGCCTGGCAAGCTATCTTTGAACTATAAAGTTCAAATGGGTGATGTAATTGTGTGCAAAGTCCCTTTAGGATCAAATGTATCCAATGCAAGTTATGCCCCTGCCCCAGATTTAAACAATTAGCAATTTAACCCGGATGTGCCACGCCCATTTCAAACTTTTTTTTCATATTTTAATACATATTTAAAATGTCTAGTTGTGTTCCAAATTTCAAGCTTCAACCTTTGTTGGGTCGAAGGTCATTGACCTTGGATGTCAGCTAATACTTTCACATTTGACCTCTGACATCTACTTCCAGTTTTAGGTTCCAAAAATGAAAATATTACCGAAAAACATGGATCCGCCTCTAAAAAGGGAGGTAGAGATCTTTTGAAGTCTGCCATATCTGACAGTATAGATATGGAGGCTTCTGAGGTTGATGCAGAAGTTCTCAACCCCATTAACTGCAAACCTCATAGTCCAGTCAAACCACCCTGAAAATGCATCAAAAAAATAATATAATACAATGGAATTGTCGAGGTTTAAGTCATAATCAGCTATTGATTCAACAATAAAATCTGTTGGCTATATGTCTCCAAGAGACTTTCCTCAAGCCAACAGATTTGCGTTTAGTGAAATTTAAACATTTTGTTTCCTACCACCATTATGGCACTGGTGATGATATGGTCTCGGGTGGTGTTTCTATTATTGTCAATAGGAACGTTGCCCAGTCCTCTATCACACTCATTTCTCCTCTGCAGGTTATAGCCGTGCGAGTTACACTATTACCATATGTTCCATCTACTTATCATTGAACCCGAGAGAATTGGATGACCTTATTGCACAGCTTCCATCTCCTTACATTTTGTTAGGAGATTTCAATGGTCACCATTCTTTCTGGGGTAGCTCCGATGATGATAGCAGAGAAAAATTAATAGCTGACAATGACAGTGATCTATAATGATGAATCACCTACGCATTTCTGTTCAAAAACAAAACTTTTTCTCATCTAGATCTGACAATTAGCTTTCCATCTTTGTTCCAAGATTTTTCTTGGGAGTGTCCACGACGACCTCTGCCACAGTGATCATTATCCTGTAATTCCTCGGAATAATGGTTCTTCACCAGTAGACAGGCTACAAAGATGGAAACTCTCCAAAGCTAATTGGCCACTCTTTAAGGCTCTTTGTATTTTTTCTTTCCTCAAGATGATCTAGATGAAGCAGAAGACCCGATGGAATTATTTACCACCATCTTGCAAGATATATCGGGTCAGGCGATTCATATAACCTCAATAACTCCAAAACGATTCAATAAACCATGGTTTAATGAAGACTGTAAGACAGCACTGAAAGAATGTTCTCCTACTGATGACAATATGGCCTCTTTCGGCATTGCACGGCAAACACCAGGAGTACTATTTGCCAAGCAAAGAGGTCGTCATGGCAGGAGTATGTTTCAAGAATCAACAGTCATACGTCTTCCAAATCAGTCTGGGATTGGATCGTAGGATCAAGGGTAAAGCGGATACAATATCTGTGAACCATCTAGAAGTAGATGGTTCAACTCATACCACTCTTCCAGATATTGCTAATTCCTTGGGCCACAATTTTTCTTATAATTCTTGCTCTAACTTTTCCTCGGATGCTTTTCGGAGAGTCAAACGAGAGGAAAAAACTTAATTTTATATCAAAAAAACAGAATTAAAGTTTTTTCTGAAACAAGCCCATGATACAGCTAGTGGGCCTGATGATATCCATTATCAGATCCTAAAACATCTTCCTTACCCCACACTAAAAAAACTTATATATATTTTGTGATATTGTTTACTGTTGTCTGAATTACTAAATGTAATCTGGTATGAAGAGTGATCTTCTCTTGTGTTATGATGCCACCATTTTAGAATAAACATGTCTTGAATTTTTTTACTTTAATCTGTTCTTAGCAACTTACAAAGTGGCCATCCAGAACATGACATAACATATTTGGCGACGAGGATGCTTGATCTTGATGTCTACGTGCCTTAAGCTGATAATTTTGCTTTGGTGGGTGAATTATTCTACATTTTACTATAGTCAGTGGACTTAACAATTTCATTGAAGATGAATACAAATGGTATTGCACCCCCACCACCGTATTTGACTTGCCCTGGAAAAGCTCCAATTGCATGGAACCAATGGATACAACTTTTTACAAACTACATGGATGCTTCAGATTACACAAATTTTACGGAAGCCAGAAAGAAAGCTATTTTATTACATTCATTGGGAGCTGAAGGCCAAAGAATATTTTACACATTGTCCGAAGATTTTATTGAACGAGACGAAGAAGATGATGACTATTCGTTCTCAGTGAAGTTACTTGAAAACCATTTTCAACCTGATGTAAATGTTGTAGCTGAACGCTATAGATTCAAGAGACGTGCACAAACTCCGGGTGAGACTATTGATGAATATTGAGCCGCATTACGAGAGCTTTCTACTTTTTGCGAATTTCCTGATTTTGATGATAGAATACGTGACCAAATTGTTGAGAAAACTGCTGTACCTAAAGTTCGAGAAAGACTTTTGATGGAATCAAATAGCAAACTTACTCTTTCAAAAACATTAGAAATTGCAAGGCAAGTGGAAAAGGCTATACGTGAAGCCAAATCAATGACTGCTGCGACACAAAGTGACAATACAAATTCAGTGAAATATGTGTCTAAATCGAGTGGTTCAAAGTATGCTAATAAAAATTATGTGAAATCTAATGCGGGAAATAAGGATTCGAAGAAACACAGTGCTAATAATTCGAATAATTTAAAATGTTTTCGATGTGGATCTAAAAGTCATTTTGCAAATTCTAGAAATTGTAAAGCGCGAACTGTCAAGTGTCATAGCTGTAAGAAGATAGGACATTATGAAAGTGTGTGTATGAGTCATTCAGTATGTGCAGTAGATTATGATTACAATGTATTACAATGTGATTCTGATGACAGTGATATACAGATATTAACTCTCTCTGATAATAACAAGAAAGGCTTATATGCTGATATTAAGATAAACAATTAGAGTTATACATTGTTAGGTGATACTGGTAGTCCGGTAACTCTGCTCTCTAAAAAGGATTTTGAACAATATTTTAGTTATGATATTTTACAACCTGCACATTTTAGATTAACTTCTTATTCTAAAAATAAGATTAATGTTTTAGGATGCTTTAATGCTTTTGTACAATTTAAAGATCGTTCTGTTTATGCTACTATACATGTTACTGAACAAGGTGTTTCCTTATTAGGATTAGATCTTATTACAGACCTAAATTTAATTTTTGATGGAGGTCAAATGGAAGTTAGGTTTACAGATTCAAATGGTGTTGAGTCTAAACTTTCTAATAATTCTTTCATTTTAGATGATAAATTTGCTGATTTTATTAATTGCTTCGGTGAAGTTACAAGTACAATAAAAGGTTTTGTTCATGAAGTTAAGGTTAAGAAAGATGTTAAGCCTGTACAACCAAAATTACGTAGATTACCTTTTGCAGTTAGGGATTCTGTTTCTAAGGAACTTAAACGCTTAGAATCTACTGGTATTATTGAGAAAATTGATTCTTCTGAATGGGTATCTCCAATAGTTGTAGTTTCCAAAAAGAATAGTAGAAATGCTGATGCTATAAGACTGTGTATAGACATGAGAAAGGTTAATGAAGCTATTATTGTAGATAAATTTCCTTTGCCTACTGTTGATGAATTATTTAGTGACTTAAATGGTGCACAATTCTTTTCAAAATTAGATTTATTAAGTGCTTATCATCAGTTAGAATTACATGAAAATAGTCGTGATTTAACTGCATTTATTACTCACGATGGTTTATTCAGGTTTAAACGTACTTGTTTTGGTTTACCCTCTGCCCCTAGTGCTTTTCAGAAAATGATGTCTTCAATTTTGTATGGCATTAAAGATGCTAAGTGTATTCTAGATGATGTTATTGTTTGGGGTAAGACACAAGAGGAACATGATGAGAATGTACGTGCTGTTCTATGAAAGTTTCAAAATATTGGATTAAAGTTAAATCATAAATGTCAATTTAATTTGAAAACAATACAATTTTTCGGTCATGTTTTATGTGCAGATGGTTTAAAGCCACATCCTAGTTTAACTAAGGCTATTATAGATGCTCCTGCCCCTCATGATGTTACATCCTTAAGATCATTTTTAGGTCTAGTAGGTTACTATTCTAAATTTTGCCCTGATTATGCCACTTTAATTGAACCTATGAGAAGATTGTTACGGAAAGAAGTTGCTTTTGATTGGTCTAGTGATGTACAACATAGTTTTGCAACTGTGAAGAAATTAATTGCTGAACATTTAACACTTGCTTATTTTGATCGCAATATTCCTACTATAGTTACTACAGATGCCTCAGGATACGGTCTTGGTGCAGTTTTGGGACAAATACGAAACGGGAAAGAAGAAATTATTGCGTGCGCATCTAAAACTTTGACAGAAAGTGAACGTAAATACTCTGTTGGTGAACGTGAAGCTCTGGCGTGTGTTTGGGCTTGCGAGAAATGGCACAATTACTTATGGGGAAGAAATTTTATTTTACGTACAGGTCATCAAGCCAGGGAGACAACCAATGTGCATTGCTAGATGGAATGCAAGACTCTTACGTTATAACTATACAGTTCAATACAAACCGGGACATGAAAATAAAGTTGCTGATGCGTTGTCGAGATTGCCGTTAACTGATACCAATCCCTGTGACACAGATGATGAAACCATATGTTTACTTACGGGTTGTGTGAATATGTTGGATACGGATGAAAATGATTCTATTAGTGTTTCGCTTGCTGAATTACAAACTGCTACAAATCAAGTTGCTGCATTTCAAACTTTGATTCAGTATATTTTAGAAGGTTGGCCCGAGAGAAATAAATGTATGTCAGAACTGTTGTACTTATTTAATATTAAGGATGAGTTAACTGTTTATAAAGGTGTTATATTGCGAGGTGAACGTATTTTAGTTAACTAATAAATTGATTACTCTTGCTCATCACTCACATCAAGGTATTGTACGAACTAAACAAAGATTATGAGAACTATATTGGTGGTCAAGAATGGATTCACATATTGGCATTGTCCACTTTCACTTTGTTTTCATTTTTTCCTAGATAAATGTAGAAATGTTTCAGCTACATACAGCTGAATTAAGTTTTGTTTCTGTATCCATTGTAATAACTAGTGGATCTAATTTTGTGGGTTTAATCACTTTCTGAAGAACTATATATTTATCACTTAGAAGAAAAGATTAAAAATTGTGTTATTTGTAGTGCACATGATAAAACTGCTAGTACAAGATATGCTCCATTACAACCAGTACCTTTGCCGAAAGAACCTTGGGGAAAGTTAGGTATTGATATTGTGGGTCCTATTGAAAATGCTCCACCTGATTGTCGTTTTGCTATTACATTAATTGATTATTATAGTAAGTGGCCTGAAGTTGCTTTTACTAGTCGTGTTACTTCAACAAATGTTATAAAATTTCTTACTTCTATTTTTAGTCGAGAAGGTTTTCCTTCAGAATTAGTTAGTGATCATGGTGTTCAATTTACTTCTTATGAGTTTGAACAATATTTGAAAAGTAGAAATATTAAGCATTATCTTTCTTCTGTTTATTATCCTCAAGCAAATGGGTTAATTGAGCGATTTAATCGAGCTCTTGGTAATTCAATTAAAACTGCTATTATGTCTCATAAACCTTTGAAAAAGTCTATTCAAGAATTTTTGTGTATTTATAGAGCTACATCACATCCTACTACTGGTTATGCTCCTTCTATTTTATTACATGGTAGACGATTAAGAACAGGTTTAGATATTTCAGGTATTCATAAGTCTTTAGTAAATTGGTCTGCTGAAAAAGTATTTGAAAAAGTTATGAATTCTCAAAGTGCTAGTAAAGATTATACTGATAAGAGAAGAGTTGCAACTAATGTAGACTTAAACGTTGGTGATTTAGTTAGAGTTAGAAAACCTGGCCATGTAAATAAGGGTGAAAATAAGTTTTCCAATCCAGTTAAAATAACAAAATCGATAGGTCCATCTACTTACAAAACTTCTGATGGTCGAATATGGAATCAATCTAAATTGTCTAAATGTAACCCTACTAAAATAATGAGTAATTCCAATAAAAGCACTAATCATTCACAAAATATAAGTATGCCTGTTAAAACTAATATTCAGAACAAAGGTAGCTTTTGTCAATCTCCTGAAGTTGTCTTACGCAGAAGTGAACGAAATAGGAAAACTCCTGCATGGCATAAAAGTTATAAAATGTGAATTATTAATGTAATATATTGATGTATTTCATGTTGTAGTTTCTTACATTCTTTGTTGTTATACCTTACGAGTGAAAGTTTAAATTTTGGTTTATTTTTACATTGCTGTTAGTACAAATGTATGCACATGTATTTTTTTTGAGAGGGGGAAATGTGATATTGTTTACTGTTG